AAAGAAAATCACATTTTATTATTTATTTATAGAATAACGGCAAATCATAAATATGGAAGCTAACTGTACCGAATAAGATTTAATGTTGTCTTTGCGGGATCGAACCATGAGCTTCAGGTCCAGTTACTGACGGTGACAGGTGATTATAATGTAACAACTTTACAAAAATCAGAGATCGATTCCCCATAACCCCATTATAACTCCCTTACCCATCGGTTAAGAACCTCAATCTATATTAAAAAATGGACGGGGAGTTGATACGTAGAAAAACAAAACTGACATGAACAGAGATGGAGATGCGGGAATCAGCCTAGCAAACAAGAGACCCACGTCAAGGTAAACAACAGTCAGCCTAGCAAACAAGAGACCCACGTCAAGGTAAACAACAGTCAGCCTAGCAAACAAGAGACCCACATCAAGGCAAACAAGAGAGTCAGCCTAACGACCATCAACAGACCCACATCAAGGTAAACAAGAGAGTCAGCCTAACGACCATCAACAGACCCACATCAAGGTAAACAAGAGAGTCAGCCTAGCGAACAACAGACCCACGTCAAGGCAAACAAGAGAGTCAGCCTAGCAAACAACAGACCCACATCAAAGTAAACAAGAGAGTCAGCCTAACAAACAACAGACCCACGTCAAGGCAAACAATGTAGTAGAACAAGTGGACGAGAATAACAACGCCATACAGAGGCATCGCATCAATATGTTAAGTGACACGCCTTGCTCACTACTGTTTTCATGAAGGTGAAATGGCTTTGTAATAGGTCGTTGAACCTGCCGCTATAGGTCTTCAAAAAAACATGTCACTAGGAAACGAGAGCCGGGAGACGTTGCATTAGAAGCATCAACATGTGGGTAAAACTAGGCTGGGTAGCTAGCGCGGGGACCTACTAGCACATATAGGTGAAAAACGAGGCTTGGTAGCTAGCGCGGGGACCTACTAGCACATATAGGTGAAAAACGAGGCTGGGTAGCTAGCGCGGGGACCTACAAGCACATATAGGTGAAAAAACGAGGCTGGGTAGCTAGCGCTGGGACCTACAAGCACATATAGGTGAAAAACGAGGCTTGGTAGCTAGCGCGGGGACCTACTAGCACATATAGGTGAAAAACGAGGCTGGGTAGCTAGCGCGGGGACCTACTAGCACATATAGGTGAAAAACTAGGCTTGGTAGCTAGCGCGGGGACCTACTAGCACATATAGGTGAAAAACGAGGCTGGGTAGCTAGCGCGGGAGCCTACTAGCACATATAGGTGAAAAACGAGGCTGGGTAGCTAGCGCGGGAGCCTACTAGCACATATAGGTGAAAAACGAGGCTGGGTAGCTAGCGCGGGGACCTACTAGCACATATAGGTGATAAACGAGGCTGGGTAGCTAGCGCGGGGACCTACTAGCACATATAGGTGAAAAACGAGGCTGGGTAGCTAGCGCGGGGACCTACAAGCACATATAGGTGAAAAACGAGGCTGGGTAGCTAGCGCGGGGACCTACAAGCACATATAGGTGAAAAACGAGGCTGGGTAGCTAGCGCGGGGACCTACTAGCACATATAGGTGCGCGCGCAAGCAGTGACGCACGTCCAGATGAGGATATCCGTCGCTAACCACCTCCCTCTCTCCCCCTCCCTAGCCTTCCCTCATCTCCCTCTCCCCTACCTCCTTCATTCCTTTCTTTCAAGCGTTCCTTATTTCCTGTCTCTGACTCCACTGGTTCCTCTTCTCTCCTCACTCCTCACTGTTCCGCTTTCCTTCCCTCTTTCCTCCTCTCCACTGGTTCCTCTTCTCTCTCCACTGGATTGGGTCTCTGGAGTTCTAGTCTTCGAGGCCCATCTAGAGCCAGTTTCGACTTGTAATAACTTGGTCCAACAGGCTGTTACTTGCAGCTGCCCGCGGGCCCACGTATCCACTACAGCCCAGTTGGTCCGGCACTTCTTGCAAGAACTTATGTAATTGTTTCTCGAAGTACACCTTTGTTTTGGCTGGGCGTGTTGGACAGCCGTGGACTCCTGATGTTCAGACAGTGTTCTCTGATTGTGCCTATGGTACCTCTTGTCCTTACTAATTGTACTGTGAATTTCCTCCCACATCTTTCGCTCCAGTATGTTGCTATTCTACTGTGCAAACTCTACTGTCCACTGGCTCTTATTCTATATCCTGTCCCCAGTGGTTCCTCTTCTCTCCCTTTCAATTACTGGCTAAATTTCTACCACAAAACCTGTCAACTCCCTACTCTCTCTAGACAAGCCACCTTCTATGCCAGCGAGATCACTCTTTTATAAGTGATCTATAAGAGTTAGATCCAATTACCGCGTAACGTGGTGCAGGTGGGATCCCTCGATTGTTTCAAGCGCGGGTTGGACATGCATATGAGTGGGATTGGATGGTTATAAATAGGAGCTGCCTCGTATGGGCCAATAGGCCTTCTGCAGTTACCTTTGTTCTTATGTTCTAACCCAATCTCTTCCGCCAGGTAAACTATCTCCTTCATCCTCCCACTACCGACAACCGCTCGTCCCATCACCCCCCCCCCTCACCCCCCACAGGAGCTAAGCCAATCACGTCGTAACTCAATCACGGTCAACGAACCCTGGTATTGCTGCTCGGTATCCTGTGGGTGACAAAGGCTCTCTGTATATACTGATGTAACTAACTACCCTCGGTAGGTGTCTGTGTGAGTATTGCAGCATTGAACAAGGCTCTGCAGTAGGACCGAAAGCAAAGTTGTCACTGGCTGATGTGCGTCAAATTTAACAGCAGCAAGCACTAGTGTTGACGGTGGCAGTCAACACTAGTGGTGGCCTCGTAGCCTGGTGGATAGCGCGCAGGACTCGTAATTCTGTGGCGCGGGTTCGATTCCCGCACGAGGCAGAAACAAATGGGCAAAGTTTCTTTCACCCTAAGTGCCCCTGTTACCTAGCAGTAAATAGGTACCTGGGAGTTAGTCAGCTGTCACGGGCTGCTTCCTGGGGTGTGTGTGGTGTGGAAAAAAAAAAAGTAGTTAGTAAACAGTTGATTGACAGTTGAGAGGCGGGCCGAAAGAGCAAAGCTCAACCCCCGCAAAAACACAACTAGTAAACACAACTAGTAAACACACTAGTGCTTGTTGTTGTTGTTATAGATTCAGCTACTCGGAATAAGTTCCAAGTAGCACGGGCTATGGTGAGCCCGTAACTTACCTGGCACAGGAGCGGGGCAAGTAGCGCGGGCTATGGTGAGCCCGTAGTGGACTTACCTGGCACAGGAGCGGTGCTGAATGAATGAACACTAGTGCAACACTCTTCAATTTAAGAGCATCGAACAACAGTGTAGACGGACTTGTAGGGGTAGGCAGGGAATTAAACAACGGCAAACAACAGTGCCTCGGAAAAAACAAGAGTTCAATCCCAACACTACCTAAATATTTCCTCCTACACCGGGTTACTGTGACATCACTGTCCGGGCCGCTCCAAGCAACAGCCTGGTGGACCAAACTCTCACAAATCAAGCCTGGCCTCGGGCCGGGCTTGGGGAGTAGAACTCCCAGAACCCCATCAACCAGGCATCAACCAGGTACCCTTCACACCCTCACCCTCTGAGCACGTGTAAAGTCTTGATCACAGTACGGACTTGTCCGCTGTTGCGCCATCACCGAGGAAATGAGCAGTTTGGCTTTAAATGACCGAGAATAATCTCAGTTGACTGGAACAAATGGACCAAACAAGGCTGCTGGCACAAGAGCCCCAACTACCCACCACACACCACTACACGTGGCACCGTTGAAGAAAACATCCTGACAGTAATAATTATGCCGTGGTCAAGTCCCACACGCAGGCCTAAGATGGCCAAGGCCAATAAGTGACCTAAGAGTGTGAAGGGCTGTGTGATGGCCACTCTGAAGGGCCAGGCGGCACTCAAGGGCAGTATGGAAAACCAGGTGCCACCATGAGCGTTTTTTGACCTTTTAAATATTTTGCCAGCCTTGCCCCCATAGGTGCCTCCCCGGTGGTGGTGAATGGTGATGATGGTGGTAATGGTGGAGATGATGACGGTAATGGTGAATTACACCGCTATATAAACCATTAAGAACGTGACTCGTTAATATATTACCCATACGTTGAGGAGCGGTGTTACATCACCGTGACAACACTGGACGGAGCCGCCATCCTGCGTGAACGAGATGATGTGTTGCCCGGCATTGTGTTGACTGGCACTGTGTTGGCCGGCACTGTGTTGGCCGGCACTGTGGTTCCCGACCCCTGGGAACAAGCGAGTGGCCCTCCTGCGTCATTGCTCCGGCGCCTCTCCTAATTAATGACCGCGTATTTAAACATTCATAACCTCTTGCCCAAAGGTAACAGACATTTTGTAATAAAACTGGATACATTAAAGCATTTATAACACTTAACAAACTTGGGGTAACGGTGATAAATACAGTAGCGTGAACTTTTCTCAGCGCCACACGCTTTCCCCTAGAGTGATGCTTTTTCGGCCAACAATTACAGTTAGCCTACAGTTAGAGAGCACACTGTCAACTCCAGAGAGCACACTGTCAACTCCAGAGAGCACACTGTCAACTCCAGAGAGCACACTGTCAACTCCAGAGAGCACACTGTCAACTCCAGAGAGCACACTGTCAACTCCAGAGGCATTCCACTCCTCAATCACCTGCCAACCAATTTAAGGAATGTCGCTGGAACAACAGACGGCTTCCAAGAGAGAATTGGAAAAGTTTGTGCTGGAGTTACTGGATCAGCCTGGCTGTGATGGTCATGCTTCGGGCTACCTGGAGAGGGTTTCGGCACTACTTCCCGAGTCCGGCCTGAGGCCAGGCATGACTTTGATAACTTGGTCCTCAGGCTGTTGCTTGGAGCGGTCCGCAGGCCCACTTATCCACTACAGCCTGGTTGGTCAGGCACTTCTTGCAAGAACTTATCTAAGTGCATCTTGAATACATCTACCTTTGTTCCAACAATCATTAGAAATATTGCTGGGCGGGTGGACCTCAGATGTACAGTGTTCTCTGATTGTGCATTTCCTTACGTACCATTCGCTCCAGTATGTTGTTATTCCACTGTGCAAATTTGGGACCTGTCCCTCCTGTATCTTCCATGTATACATTATTTGATACCTGTCTCGTCTCTTTTTCCAGACACTTCTTGGAGACTTTCCCAATAATCTACGAAGACTTACGTCCTCACAGACCAGATAGCCAGATTCACGAAACACTTACGCAAGTACTTACAAACGTGTACATCTGTCCTCAATCTTTGACGCCTTTGGTTACATTTATTAAACACTACAAAGACATGAAAAGTTCCCCTCAATCAAGTGTTAACCTGTTATTGTTATAAACAGCCTCCTGGTACTTCGGAGCTCATTAACTGTTTAATAATTGTAAACTAAGCTGCCAAAGATTGAGAAAAGATGTATAGGTTCGTAAGTGCTTGTGTAATTGATTCGTGAATCTGGCCCCAGACAATCAACAGGGAGGCTGGCCAACATACGAACGGCATTGACTAGTTGAACTCGTTCATCCTAGTCCCATTATTACCATAGTCAGTTGTACTATATTGATTAACCTAGCCAAAGATTGAGAAAAGATGTACAGGTTCGTAGCATTCCACCACAGTACAGTACTGCAAGGTGCAACAAACAAAGAGTGTCCAATCGGCAAAGTCTAAAGTGCTTGTGTTAGGCAGGTACGTCTGTCGAGTACAAGCCATTGTGGTGGACAAAATACCAGTAGACTGATTCGTCCTTGTTGGGACAGACTATTGCCATCGATTCATCGAATCTGCAGGTAAATTACTCTCAGCCCCTATACCAACAGAGGTTGATGTTAGACAAATCAACAGCAGAAATTTGTGTAAAGAATCATTCAGAACTTTGTATACCACATATGTCAGACCAATCCTGGAGTATGCAGCCCCAGCATGGTGTCCATATCTAGTCAAGGATAAGACTAAACTGGAAAAGGTTCAAAGATTTGCCACCAGACTAGTACCCGAGCTGAGAGGTATGAGCTACGAGGAGAGACTGCGGGAATTGAACCTCACTTCGCTGGAAGAGGGGGGACATGATCACTACATTCAAGATTCTCAAGGGAATTGATAGGGTAGATAAAGACAGGCTATTTAACACAAGGGGCACACGCACAAGGGGACACAGGTGGAAACTGAGCGCCCAAATGAGCCACAGAGATATTAGAAAGGACTTTTTTAGTGTCAGAGTGGTTGACAAATGGAATGCATTAGGAAGTGATGTGGTGGAGGCTGACTCCATACACAGTTTCAAGTGTAGATATGATAGAGCCCAATAGGCTCAGGAATCTGTACACCTGTTGATTGACGGTTGAGAGGCGGGACCAAAGAGCCAGAGCTCAACCCCCGCAAACACAACTAGGTGAGTACAAGCCAGACTGCGCGAACTACAACTCTTGAAGCCATCAACTGGCCAAACCTAAACACTTATTGAATCAATATCTGGTAAATGAACTATTTATTTAGCCAAATTCAATGACATTCTCAATTACAAAACAAAAAAATAGTTGAAGGGGGTCTGACAGCTGAGCGGACAGCGCTCGGGATTCGTAGTCCTGAGGTTCCAGGTTCGATCCCCGGTGGAGGCGGAAACAAATAGGCAGAGTTTCTTTCACCCGAATGCCCCTGTTCACCCAGCAATAAATAGGTACCTGGTAGTTAGACAGGTGCCACGGGCTGTTCCATGGGGGTATGTAACAAAAAAGGAAGCCTGGTCGAGGACCGGGCCGCGGAGACGCTAAGCCCCGAAATCCTCTCAAGATAACCTCAAGATATACTGTATTTACAAGTGAACAACAATACTTATATAAACTTTTCAATTATTTCATACAGGCAGTTTCTTTCACCCGAATGCCCCTGTTCACCCAGCAATAAATAGGTACCTGGTAGTTAGACAGGTGCCACGGGCTGTTTTCTTGGGGGTGTCCAAGGAACCTCCAGTCTCCTCCAGTCCAGCTACCTCCAGTCTCCTCCAGTCCAGCTACCTCCAGTCTCCTCCAGTCCAGCTACCTCCAGTCTCCTCCAGTCCAGCTACCTCCAGTCTCCTCCAGTCCAGCTACCTCCAGTCTCCTCCAGTCCAGCTACCTCCAGTCTCCTCCAGTCCAGCTACCTCCAGTCTCCTCCAGTCCAGCTACCTCCAGTCTCCTCCAGTCCAGCTACCTCCAGTCTCCTCCAGTCCAGCTACCTCCAGTCTCCTCCAGTCCAGCTACCTCCAGTCTCCTCCAGTCCAGCTACCTCCAGTCTCCTCCAGTCCAGCTACCTCCAGTCTCCTCCAGTCCAGCTACCTCCAGTCTCCTCCAGTCCAGCTACCTCCAGTCTCACAATAATCCCCGCCTTCTAGGATGCAAATTTAAAACTAGATACAAATCTCTATGCAAATTACACACTATATATAGTCTCCTGTTAACCTCACATACTTCTTGCTCACAGTTACTGAGTGGCATACCTTGAGGTTCCTTGAGGTTACCTTGAGATGCTTCCGGGGCTTAACGTTCCCGCGGCCCGGTCGTCGACCAGGCCTCCTGGTTGCTGGACTGATCAACCAGGCATAATTCACATACGCAGCGTGCTGAATTGGCATACTGTATTTCACCTTAAGTATTGGTGAGGCCTGGTCGAGGACCGGGCCGCGGGGACACTAAAGCCCCGAACTCATCATCTCAAGATAATCTCAAGATTGCCTTTAATTAATAACCGTTTTGCTAATATGCAAATTAACATATGCAAATTACCACAGGTTACTTCAACTTGGTTACCGCGTCTCTAACACCTGCCAAGCGGTTCCGTCGCCAGGCGAAAATAATAATTGTAATTTAATTTACAAATCTTAGTTAAGACTTGTAATAACAGTAATGCTCCTTAATTCTCCCTTCTTCCTTTGTTCTTTCTCCCTAGTCGTCCCATTCCCAAGTCTCGGGGTGGCGTCCAGGCAGGATATCAGGCAGGATATCAGAGGCCATTACTGTAGGCAGTGAGGGATTGTGTACAAGAATCTAGAGTACCCCCTCAAGACCCTCCTTCCTTGGCACCCCAGGGGCCAGATTCACGAAGCAGTTACGCAAGCACTTGCGAACCTGTACATCTTTTCTCAATCTTTGGCGACTTTGTTTACAATTATTAAACAGTTAATGAGCTCCGAAGCACCAGGAGGCTGTTTATAACAATAACAACACTTGACTGGCAAGTTTTCATGCTTGTAAACTGTTTAATAAATGTAACCAAAGCCGTCAAAGATTGAGGAAAGATGTACACGTTCGTAAGTGCTTGCGTAACTGCTTCGCGAATCTGTGTCGAGGTCTTTGAACAAGGTCCAGGCCCTATTGTCATCGCGAGAACTGGGTGCCACACTCAGCTGTAGGTCTAAGAAGGTACAAGTCAAGCCTGGCCTCGGGCCGGGCTTGGGGAGTAGAAGAACTCCCAGAACCCCATCAACCAGGTATCAACCAGGTATCAACCAGGCCCTTGTGAGAGGTATTGCCTTGATGCATACTCCATCACCATTGACACAAGTCGAGCCTGGCCTCGAGCCGGGCTTGGCTTGAACCAACCAGGTATCAACCAGGTATCAACCAGACTTGGGTTTTGGAGCCTCGGTGGATTGTCTCATTGATATACACGTTAGTGTGATTTTCTGTGTATATTGATTTTATTAATAAATTCTTTGTTAATGTTTCACTTGCTATCTCAGTGCCAACCCTGGTCATTAATGTGAGCACACACCAACAATAGCTTGCTTGGTCTTGGCATATTATCAGTGATTCTTTAAAACATATAAGAATTAAGATAACTCAAGTAATACTTAAGCCATTTGCAATAATTAATCATTTGTTGCACAAGTAATCATCAACAGGGAGATTACATCTCTGTGTTTCATCTCCTTGACTTCTTCCTCACGAGTCGTGGACAATACTTGCCAGAAATTATCAAAGACCAAGATGTAGGGGGCAGCTGATGAGAGAGAGAGAGAGAGAGAGAGAGAGAGAGAGAGAGAGAGAGAGAGAGAGAGAGAGAGAGAGAGAGAGAGAGAGAGAGAGAGAGAGAGAGAGAGAGGGAGAGAGGGAGAGAGGGAGAGAGAGGGAGAGAGAGGGAGAGAGAGGGAGAGAGAGAGAGAGAGAGAGAGAGAGAGAGAGAGAGAGAGAGAGAGAGAGAGAGAGAGAGAGAGAGAGAGAGAGAGAGAGAGAGAGAGAGAGAGAGAGAGAGAGAGAGAGAGAGAGAGAGAGAGAGAGAGAGAGAGAGAGAGATCTTGCATATAATTATTCTTGGAATAATAGTTTGACACAGCTAAACTGGAAGGGATAGGGCTCTTACACCGTGAGAGCACACGACTCACCCCTTAGAAATCGGGACGTGGTGTGTTCTCTCATATCCTTTGACCAGAAGATGGAATTTAAGAGCCACCATCCACTTTCCCACTAACCCTTTCCTGCAAAACCCATCCTCTTCCACCACCACCACCACCACCCTCCTTCCTGTTCCAGCGTCCCCTTTTCCACCACCAACCTTCTCCTCCGCCACCTTACTACCCACCAGAAGCCGGAATACTTAAGACATTCACTCCATGTTTCTTCAGAGTAACGCACTGCTGTCAAGGGAGGGGGGAGCGAGCACGAGTGGCCCTGAGGTAAGGGGGAGGGGGTTATGGGGGGTATGGGGGGGGGGAAGGGGGTAATGGGGGAAGGGGGTAATGGGGGAAAGGGGTTACTATTGAGGGTGAAGATTTATTTATTTTCCTACCACAGACGTGGCCATACATTTACAATGCTAACCAGCATGTATATATTTTTTCTAGTGTCTTCCATGAACAGTTAAATATCTAAGACACGGTTCACTGATGTATCGACCAATCAACTACAGAAGGTGATTGTAGTGCTTTTAAAGTGAATATATTTTTTTCTGGACATCTACCTCTACATGTATGTTATGACAATAGATGAATACCGAGCGTCATTCATAGACACACATACACTCGTAGAGTAGATGTGAGTAGTAGAGTGGATGAGTAGTAGAGTAGATGTGGTGGAGGCTGACTCCATACACAGTTTCAAATGTAGATATGATTGAGCCCAGTAGGCTCAGGAATATGTCCACCAGTTGATTGACAGTTGAGAGGCGGGACCAAAGAGCCAGAGCTCAACCCCCCTTCAAGCACAACTAGGTGAATACTCGGATACATGTGGAGTATCATTCACAGACACACACTCGGATACATGTGTACTCGGATACATGTGGAGTATCATTCACAGACACACACTCGGATACATGTGTACACGTTCTGTCTGCAGAGTCATTTCTTTCCGTTTGGGTTTCTTGCTATGTCATTCTGGAATTTTATCCCGCGGGGCTTGGTCTATCTCTAGTAGATCCAAGCTCTTGGGCCCCGAGCTGTGAGAGAGCCGTGGTGGTGCACTGGTGGCGTGGGAGATGGGAGAAGATAGGTGATGTGGAAATGGAGAACTAGAAGACGAAGGAGATAGAGAGAGGAAGTAGATGGTGTATGTATGGGAAGAGTAGATGTAAAGACGATAAATGGGAGGGGAGTGAGGGGTAGGGAAGTGAGAGTAGGGAAGGAAGGGAGGGAAGGAGAGAGGGAAGGAGAGAAGGAAGGAGAGAGGGGGAGAACGATGGCCCGTGCAAGAGAGGAATACCTGATGACCACAGTCATCATCCCCAACCCGGTCGACATCTCTAGGCAAGACCCGCGCTCCCAGAACCCCAAGCAAGATCGGTTCATACATCACAGACCAGACCAGACTGGATCCCGTCAGGTCAGGCCAGAGCACAGCAGCTCCTAGCAGCAGCAGCAGTCACAGAGATCCCAGCAGCCACCCAGACCCCCAGCAGGTCGCTGAGGCCAGGCTGGCAGAGGACGCGACTGACCATGCGCTGAGAAGCTGATAACGCCACTCATCCTGCCCACCCGCCGTAGAGTCCATACTGCCGCGTGTGGGTATGTATTCAGTTTTTATAACGATATATATATATATATATATATATATATATATATATATATATATATATATATATATATATATATATATATATATATATATATATATATATATATATATATATATATATATATATATTATATATATATATAACTACATACATGCTGTAATGACACGGCTATGCAACTCGTCAACCAATAAATCAACCATTCAACTCGCATCCATCAAACCAATCAATCAAGGTATATCTTGAGGTTATCTTGAGATAATTTCGGGGCTTTTTAGTGTCCCAGCGGCCCGGTCCTGGACCAGGCCTCCACCCCCAGGAAGCAGCCCGTGACAGCTGACTAACACCCAGGTACCTATTTTACTGCGAGGTAACAGGGGCATAGGGTGAAAGAATCTCTGCCCATTGTTTCTCGCCGGCGTCCGGGATCGAACCCGGGACCACAGGATCACAAGTCCAGTGTGCCGACCGGCTCCCTTCCTCTTAGATTCCTTCTCCTTAATTGCCAATATTTAAAACCACTACAAACAATTAAATAATTAATAATAAAAATAAAGTTACAAATTACATTGCGCCTACAATGATCAAGGTACATAAATTATTTCTCGATTTATACATTCACGGTGACTTGGAACCCATGTGCGCTAGGAACCTTGGCATTTCTGTGAAGACAAATTTAATAGCATTCCAGTTCAACAACTTTCTGATTTACATCTCTGCGGAGACTTTAAATTGTGCACAGGTCGGCCACCCCCATAATGTCCCGCTTCATGCGGGTCGGCGTTCAATCCCCGACCGTCCACAAGTGATTGGGCACCATTCCTTCCCTCCCCCGTCCCATCCTTATCCTGATCCCTTCCAAGGGCTATAGAGTCATAATGGCTTGGCGCTGTTCCCTGATAATTCTTACCTTTCTATTCCTAGGGAAATCATTTACATATACTTTCCACCCCATTTCCGACCCAGTATAAAAAAAAAGTCATGACTGACAGATTCTATTACACGTCAATAATTCAATTAAAAAGGTACATAAACAAATTATCAAATTTATATTATGATAGGTTTTCACCTATCAAAATATTTACATCCAATAAAGAATAGCTGGAAACGCTATGCATATTAGTGGCTTTAAGTATTGTATGCACTAGTTCTATCTATAAATCCAACATTATGTTTGTAACTCATCTATGTATGTACTTTTAACTGAATAAAAATTTGAATTTGATTTTGAATAGCATGAGCGTCTAAGCAACACAAACCTAACCTAACCAACTAGCCTAACCTTACAGAGGCCTAGGAATAAAACTCAGCAAACCTATCTAGGACTATGTACGGACTTAAAAACATAAGAATGCAGGAAACTGAAGAAATGCCTACGGTTCCCTAAGAGGGAGCTACTATTCCTAACTACCCACTCATACGCCTAATCAATGTTTGAAACAAGCCATCAATCCTTCGTCTATTTTCAGAAAGATCTGAAACGCGGTAATTTTTCAGAAAGATCTGAAACGCGGTAATTTTTCAGAAAGATCTGAAACCCGGTAATTTTCAGAAAGATCTGAAACCCGGTGATTTTCAGAAAGATCTGAAACCCGGTAATTTTCAGAAAGATCTGAAACCCGGTAATTTTCAGAAAGATCTGAAACCCGGTAATTTTCAGAAAGATCTGAAACCCGGTGATTTTTCAGAAAGATTTGAAACCCGGTAATTTTCAGAAAGATCTGAAACCCGGTGATTTTTCAGAAAGATCTGAAACCCGGTAATTTTCAGAAAGATCTGAAATTCGGTAATTTTCAGAAAGCTCTGAAAATCTTTCACTGTTATCTGTTGATGAATTCCCCCGGGCAGTGACACTGAGCGTGTAGTTTGTTTGTTTGTTTGTTTGCGCGTGTTAATCACCCAGACAAGGAAAATGTTGAATACCCCGAGACCTGGAAGCGGTAATAGGTTAACAAATAACCTTGTTGCCTGTGTGTAACAAACGCACCAATAGAGGCCAGGAAGTGAGGAGGTAAGGAGGCCTGGTCGACGACCGGGCCGCGGAGACACTAAGCCCCGGAAGCACCTCAAGGTAAGGAAAGTGTATGGGTACGCGTGTTGTACCACATTTTATGCACAGGAGAGGCGGCAACCTCCTCTTAACATAATAGTAATTGCCTTGTGAAAAAATGGCCCTCCCCGAACACAGAACCTCATGCGCAGTGCAGAGGTTCAGGTCATAGGTTATATAGGTCACAGTCACCGTCAATCCTGGGGTAATGGGAGGTGGTTACACGCGAGGGTCAAAGTCTCACCACAGTGGTACATAATCAGCTTCCCGCCCTGGCTGCCCAGACGACATGGATTCGAACCCTCATCACGGCTCCTACGGATTTTCCGACTGACCAACCGGGAAGCCTGGGCGGAGACCAGGATCACCGGAACCGCCACAGGGGGGGTAAACCCATGTAGGGGTTAAACGACGACTAATAAACGAGGCCATATCCAATGTTTTAGTTTCAGCTACTCTGAACACAAAGTTCCAAGCAGCACGGACTATGGTGAGCCCATTGTACTCACCTGGCACAGAAGATGTGCCTGTATCCAATGACAATGATGATGTTTTAGATTAAGATATTAGAACAAAATGTCCATGTAGCACGGGCTATAGTGAGCCCGTAATTGAGTTCGGTTATTCGCGATAACCTTGTTACTGTGATATCCAGTATCCAACGACTGTTGTTGTTGTTTAAGATTAGCTACTTGGAACAAAAAGTTCCAAGTAGCACGGGTTATGGTGAGCCCGTAGTGGACTTACCTGGCACAGGAGCGGGGAAAGTAGCACGGGCTATGGTGAGCCCATAGTGGACTTACCTGGCACAGGAGCGGGGCAAGTAGCACGGGCTATGGTGAGCCCATAGTGGACTTACCTGGCACAGGAGCGGGGCAAGTAGCACGGGCTATGGTGAGCCCATAGTGGACTTACCTGGCACAGGAGCGGGGCTGTCGATCCAATGACAATACCACACTCTTAAATACATTAAGAGTTGTTCCGGGCGAGGCGAGGTGGTGCACCACCACCACCCCGCACCTCTGTGCCTGGGCCTGCACCACACAAGAGATGATCAATAATAGGCTGTGTAGCGGGAGAGGGCGGGCAAGGCCCGTATGACACAGCCACTGTGGCGTCAACCTCTCTCTCTCTCTCTCTCTCTCTCTCTCTCTCTCTCTCTCTCTCTCTCTCTCTCTCTCTCTCTCTCTCTCTCTCTCCTCCTCTCTCTCTCTCTCTCTCTCTCTCTCTCTTCTCCCCCTTCACCTGGCGCTCAAGCCCTCAACCTCTTACACCCTCCACAAACCTCCCCAACCTCTCAACTCACTATAGCTTGAATCTATAACAACAACGATTAATGACCACCTCCACAGATCTCTAGTATCATCTACTGATACTGGTAATAGCTCAAAAGGGCCACCACTTACGGGCTATTCATGCCCGTGCCACCTTTTGGGTGGCTTAATCTTCATCAATCATCAATCAATCACTATAGCTAACACCTCAAGCCCTACTAAATTCCCTGACAAGTTCTGGAGACCCGAACCAGAGCCCAACTTCCCAGTAAATCCAATCGAGTACCGGGTTGGTCGACTTTTGTGCCATCACGGCAGAGTTGGTTAAGACAGGCAATCACCACAACGCGAGTTCAAGTCTATTGCTTCAAAATAACATATATATATAATTATGTAAACAAGCACACACGTATGTACATATACGCGGTACATACGAGTCCAGCGCACACACACACAGTATTCGGTTAGTAGCATCAGCTTGGCAATGTGGAGCCGAGGGTTAAGTAGATTTAAATTACTGAAACAGTAGAGGGAGAGGTAGACTAGGGGATTGGGGTTGGGGTAGGAGGGGTGGGGGGTCACCACGTGATCACCACACGCGTCACCGTAATTGCCAGTGGGGGGGTGGGGGGATTGGGGATGTTGGGGACGAGAGGTTAGACAGCCAACTCTGGCCTGCGTCACCGTATGTGCGTCACCGTACACTGCGTCACTGTATACTGCGTCACCGAGGGGGGGGAGGGGAGTTTCAACCCCCCCCCCCTCCGTGTCTACGCATGCAGCACTTGTATTTCCCCCTGAATGCGTTAGCAGGGTTGAGTGCTAGCTCCTCATCTCCCTCCTCTTCCCAAGTGTTGGTGACATATAATGCAATGATCCACCTCTCCCCCTTTAGTGCATTATTCCATCTACCTATTCAATTGCGTAGTGAATTACTGTGTACGGTGTCTCACTCTTACCAGCACGGTGTGGCTACTGTGAACCCTCTACACCCTGCCCACGCTGCCTACACCGTTCATCATCCTCAAGGCTTCTTTGTTTACCTTGTCACTTATGCAGAGAAATACATCGTTAACATGTCCCCTCGATTCCATCAATCAAGTGTGTGGAGCGGTCCAGCTCTCTCAGCCTCACACTGATTTAGTCATCCCGGCTGTTGTAGGATGTTGTTGTTGTTGTTTAAGATTCACTACCTGGAACAACAAGTTCCAAGTAGCACGGGCTATGGCGAGCCCGTAGTGTGATGTAGGAGCCTCGTTGCATAGCTTGGGTAATGGGAGGTGATTACAGGCGAGGATCAAAGTCTCACACCACAGGGTACCCAATCAGCCTCCCTCCCTGGTTGCCCAGACTACCAATCGCATGGATTCGAACCCTCAGCATGGGGTACACAATCAGCCTCCCTCCCTGATTCCCCAGGCGACCAGTAGAGGTCGTCTAACGAAACTAATAATCATTACACACAGAAATCACAAAAGTGTGATACATCAAATGAACAAATCCACAAGGGCCGTGATGAGGGTTCGAACTTACGTCCAGGATTACGTCCTTGTCGGTTTGTTCATCTAATACCTATTAGCTTCGTATTTTTTTACTATGATATATAAACATAAACACGTAATATTTCGCCTCTGTTGTTATTGTAAAGTGTTAAAAACCCTTCCACTACATAACGATGCTATTTTGAAAGTTAGGTTAGGTTAGGTTAGTCCACCCTACTGCCAAGGCGGTACTTTCACATACCCCTTCATGTATTTTAACTTCTACAGCCATTGTTACGGCATCTGATCTGACAGCTCCAAGACTTGGCCCACATCATCTACTCTGTTGAAACCCAGCCAGGTAAGCACCACGGGGCCACGATACCCCGTGCTGCTTGGAGCTCTTTGTTCAGAGTATCTAAATCTATAACAACAACAGCCATCCTCATCCCCCCTCAAGACTTCCGTCATGTGGACCAAGCTCTCACAAGTCAAGCCTGGCCTCGGGCCGGGCTTGGGGAGTAGAAGAACTCCCAGAACCCCATCAACCAGGTATATGAGGGCCTACGGGCCGCTCCAAGGAACATCCTGGTGGACCCAGCTCTCACAAGTCGAGCCTGGCCTCGGGCCGGGCTTGGGGAGTAGAAGAACTCCCAGAACCCCATCAACCAGGTATATGAGGGCCTACGGGCCGCTCCAAGGAACATCCTGGTGGACCCAGCTCTCACAAGTCGAGCCTGGCCTCGGGCCGGGCTTGGGGAGTAGAACTCCCAAAACCTCATCAAGCAAGTATGTCTCCCTCCACCTCTTCTCGTATTGGAGGTCCTCTACACAACAGGTCAGTGTGGTCACCCTATGTTGTATTTTAGTATGAGCATCTGTCCGTCCTGTAATACAGGGGCCCCAAGTGGAGTGCATAGTTTATGTGGGAGTGGAGGTTGATTTTTGTGCCTTCGTTGCTGACGTGTCTGGGTATAGCCAATCATTTTACTTCCTTTATTATGTGGGGTTGCTACAGGGCTGCCCAAGTCTCAGATCCCTGCCAATCATCGCCCACTTCCTCTTACACAACTATTTACATACGGTAATCTTGTCATTCCAAAAGTTTAACACTTTGAACTTATCAACGTTGAACTTCATCTATCAATTTCCCGGTTTAGTTCTCTAGTGTGATAAGGTCTTTCTAAAGTTCCTCGGTCCTCATTGGTGTTTACTACTCGCCGCCTTTCTATTGCACGCAAACTTTCCGATAACACTCACAAACCTGCCGATATATATCTAGATAATAAGAGACCTTTATTATAAAATGAATTGTTTGTCCGAGGTTGGAGAACAGATGCTCGGGTTTCTGTTCTCGGGGTCTAATTATTATTATTATTACTTTTCCGTACAAAATCTTACCCACTGGAATACTGCCAGCAATCGCTTAACAATCAGGTACCTAATTTGCCCAAAGCGCCTGCCGGCTATTGTGAGGCTATGTACACCTACAGAACAATAGAAGAATACAAAGCTTTACCTTGAAACTTACTGTGTAATGCGGGATTCGAACCCGCTTTAACACCTAAACTGGTCACGGTATTTGCGTGACAGCATCTTGAAATGTGGTGATCGGTGTTGCCTGTTGCGGCAGCGAGCCCCTGCTCTCTCTCTCTCTCTTAAGGCTAACCAGCCACCCTGGCTCAGTGGACAAGTTTGTACTGGAAGCCAATCTTGCCACAATGGTGCAATCACTTAACCCCCCACTACCATCACTCACTCTCTCCACCATCACACTCTCTCAACCTCCGCCCCTCCTACACTTTTCTCATGCTCTCCCTTCATCCCACACCCCCACACCCCCC